TCTCTAACTTTAAAAAAAAAAAAAAAAGAAACAAGCCTTGAAACCTGGCCTTGGCTTGGCCTCTTTATAGATGCAAGTCCTCTCAGGCATCCATTTCCAGAATGGAGTTTTCATCCATATTGAAGATTTGCTCTGGCAAGTAATTCCCCTCTACAACCAGCTTATCTAGAGCTTCCCTGATTCTTCAGCTGCCTTCACGTCAGCACTGGCAGACTCCCCACTCACTTTCGCATCATGTAAACCACCCAGAGTTAGCAGTACATCCAATCAAGTGGTCAGCTCCACACTTTTCTCTCAACATCTCAAACTAACTTTGCTTTAGCCACGATCGTGGTGCTCAGAGGAATCTGTTCCTCTGTCTCATCTTCAGTCCAGGTCTTTAGAATTTTCCGCATATCTGATGCAGGTCCACCGTGAATTTTTGTTAGTCCTTTTCCCTTCAATGACGCAGATCCTTCAACAGCTTCTATCACGTTGTTCTTGTTCTTCAAGATTGTCCCTGTAGTGGAATGGGACTTGTCTGCCTGGAGAGCAACAGCCAGCACTGATTTTCCCTCTGGGTAGTCCCTGATCACTTTTAATTTTATTTCTAGTCAATCACTCGATGTGGCCTCTTACTGACAACATGAGGCATGGATTTACTTAAGAGACCACTGACATATAAAACAACATGAGATTAAGCCAAGCACAGAGGAAAAAGATACACTCAAGAGACTCAGTAGGCTGTACAAGGCTGCTGTTGGGTAACATGGCACCCTGGTTTACAGTCAACTGTTTTTCATTAGTAGAAGGGATATGCTATAAAACACCAATAAAAAGTATAGTAAACACATAACCCAGTAACAACATAGTCATCTATTATTATTACCAAGTATCATGTACAGTGCATAACTGCACGTTAGACTCATAGGCCAGCAGTGCAGATTCATTTGCCCCAACATCACTACAAACACAGGAACGTGTTATGCTGTGAGACTAGGATGGCTATGCTGTCACTTGACAACGGGAATATTCAGTGCCATTATAATCTTATGGGACCACTGTTATGTTACACTTGACTGTTAAGGTTCTAACTATGCTAAGTGCTAAGGAGTAACAACAGGGTAAGAGATAATCGTGTCAGACAGGAGGTTAGAAAACGCTTCTCTAAGAAAGTGACATATAGGCAAATATCCAAAGATAATTAAAGAATTAGCCAGATGGAGGGCTGGTGAGAGGAGGGGAGATGGTTGGTACTTTCTGAGCAAAGGGAAAAGCAATCAGGAGTCTTAGCAAAGAATTTAGCACATCTAAGAAGCTGTAAGAAGGCCAGGGAGACTACAGTGAGTGAGGCAACGGTATGAAGTGAGGATGGAGGAAGAGGCACAGGCCAGATGACAGTGTTGGAGGACACTTCAGGGCATTTTTAATCTATCTCAAATGCAGTGGGGAGTCACTGAAAAAAATTAAGCATGGAAGTGACATGACTGAATGTATCAATAAAAAAAAAATTCCCATGTGTGGGTGGAGGAAGAGATGAAGAGAGGTTGGTCAATGGGTACAATCACATAGTCACAGAAGCTTTAAATTCTATGGATCACAGCAGAGCAGGGTGACTACAGTTAGAAACAGCCAGGAAAGAAAACGTGAAATGTTCCCAACATGTAGAAATGATACTCACTGATGAATACCCCAGATTCCCTTACTCGATCATTATCTATTCTGCAAATATAACAAAATATCGCATGTGCCCCCTAAATACGTAAAATATTGTGCATCGATAAAAAATCCCAATGAGTGAAGAATTATAGGCTTATTCTATAAGAATTATAGAATTACAGACTCGTTATCCAAGTCTAGCATGACTTCAGACCCTGTTTCCAAATTTGACTTGAGTTTTGACTGGCAAATAGAGTTTGAATAGCAAAGGATTTACTTAAAAATTTATCTAAATCTGGTCAGCACCTGAGAGTGGAAGTTGGGAGAGTGAAAATTTGGATCAATTATTTGATTTGGAGAATTTCTGATCAATATGGTAGAATGAGCAGATGGAAAGAAAGCTCACTCGTCCATTTCACTCACTAACTGGAAATGCTCAGTAAGAAAGCCTCCCACGTATATTTATTTAAAATATTAAAATTCAAATTAAAAAACAAAGATGAAACCTTCAGGTGCCAAAACTTAAAAAGGAAGTTAAAAGTCCAGGCAGTAGTAGGAGTGAGGGTGTGCTGACTTTTGGATGCGTCCAGGGGGATTAGGTTTGAACAGCATTGGGCTAAGACTCTAGAAGAGATGGAATTAAGGTCCTAGGCTCATGTTGGGGAAAAACAAATATCCATAAGATGAGAACAGAACATTTTGAAGAGAGAGAGAAGGAAAGAGGAAGGAATGGGGGAGAGGGAATGAATGGATTACAAATAGTTCATAAATAAATAATGAACATTTATTGCATTAACTCGAGTGTTACATGGCTAAAGTCTTATTTCTAGTGGATAGTGTTCACTTCTAGAGAAATGCTTGCTCCGCTAACAGACACGCCATAAGAAAGGTGCAAGCCTTCTGACTCAATACCAGGGTAAAAATAAAGCTCCAGGCAGTACAGTACCTACTTGATTCTCTTTCTAATCAAATGCTTTCGTTATTTCCTATTCCAGATTAAAAACATTCCAAAGCACTTCTTAGAACAGATCAAACACTCTCTCAAAACTCTTAAGTCCAAATGTTTTAGACTGGAAAGATATTCAATAACAGCACTTGAACTTACTTTTCAAGTTATTCAACTGACAGGAGTTGATTTGTTTCTGAATGCATGATTTTCTAAGTAGAAATAGCTTTTTCAGTATATAAAATTGTATGGGGCTGGTGGGAGGGAAAATGAGGAGTAATTGCTAATTGAGTACAGGGTTGTATTTTTGGAGCAATGAAAATGCTTTGCAACCATGGGGTCTGGCAATTAATTTGCAAACTCATCCTAGAAAAAGTGCTGCATACCTCACTGCTAAATATCACTATGGTCACTCTGAAGCACTTCTGTTGGCCATCTGGTGAGCATAATGACATTTAGCAATGAGGTTATACAGTACTTTTTCTAGGATGAATTCACTAACTTAGTTGCTTGACCTCGTAAACAGAGGTGGTGGCTGTACAACACTGTGAATGTACTAAATAACACACTTTTCTTCACTTTAAATCTGCAGTTCCCAACCCCAGGGCCGTGGATCAGTCCACAGGCTATTAGAAACAAGTCTGTAAAGCAGGAGATGAGCCTCAGGCAAGCCAGCAAAGCTTCATCTGTATTTACAGCTGCTACCCACCGACTGTTCATGTCACCACCTGAGTTCTGCCTCCTATCACATCAATGGCAGCATTAGATGCTCAGAAGCACAAACCCTACTGTAAACTGCACATGTGAGGGATCTGGGTTACAGGCTCCTATGAGACTCTAATGCCCGCTCCTACCCTGGTCTGTAGAAAAAAATGTCCTCCATAAAACTGGTCCCTGGGGCCCAAAGATCGAGGACTGCTGCTTTAAGTCATTAATTTTATGTTAGGTGAATTTCATCTCCATTAACAAAATTATTGAGGACAAAGGCAAGTTGTCTATATAAATGTAACTCTGTGTCCTGCACAGAAATCTGGCATCCTATGCTGCTAGACATCTAACAAATTTATGCCACTGATCACAAAGGGGACCTGCAAGAGGTCATGCACAGAGTAACAGAAATTCACATCTCCAGGAAAATGAAGTCATTTGATAACATATGTAAAAATAATTCTTCTTGGAATATGAATTTTGAGGGAAAAATGTAATGATTACTCTTTGACAACTTTCCAACTCCACAATCCCGAAGCTCTAATTTCACGACAACTTTTGATTTGAGATATAAACATACACAACTTAAATGTCATAGGAATATACTACAGAAATAAAAAGTGAATGTCTTACCTCTGAATTCAAGTCCCCGTAGCTGAAAAGTGACCAGACCGTTGCCTATCTCTATGAGGTGTACTAACGCATTGAGATAGTCAGAGGCAAGGATGAAACAGTCCCCTGTGCTGTAGTTTCCCCACCGTCCTAGCAGCAAATCGCCACACAGACTGTGTTGCAGGGATCTAGTTAGATGCTCATAGAAGATGGAATTCAGATTGTTGTCATCTGATCCTATAAAAAGGGGTCAAAAGAAGTAAAATTTCATAAGTCTCCTTTATATAGACAAACAAGATTGTTAAAAATATTAAAACTAACTTAGTTAGGGCTACTAATTATATTTATTTGATAAGGAAAATAATATTCACACCCATAACAGTTTCTAGATAAAAACGAAACACAGGATAATGGAAAGGTTTTAGAATTCAGAGTTAAAAGTCATATAACCTCTCACAATCTACAGTTCCAATCAATAAAAGGTGGGAATTGGATTAGATGCAATCTAAGAACTTTTCTATCTCATTATCAGTTCATAAATTATTCAATAAAACACAACCTCATAATTAAAACCATGCAAGAAAAATGAAAAAGATAACAGAATTCAGGAAAATAAAAAGACTTCTTGGTGAAGAAAATCAATAAAATAATACAAGTTTTAAATAAATAAGATACTCTAAAATGAAGAGAAGTTGGTCAGCCAAAAAGAACCCGCACATCAAGATGGCTAATACTAAGGAGAAATGAACTCTGTATGCAGATACAGCAGCCAAGAGCCCACAGAACTGGATGCCAGTGTCATCCTTTAAGAAAAACATTAAGATAAAACATCACTCCATAAGTGATATGGCCATCTCTACAAGTAACCCATCCAAAGCAATAATTTGTATAATGGGTGCCCAAAGTATAGTAGTGGAGAATGGCAATATATTTACAGCATAAAAATTATTTTAAACTCAGCCAAACTAAATAAAATAATGAAAGGGAAATGCCAGATTCTAATGTCAGTGAAATGACTAAATTCTGTGTCTGCCCATCATAAAAGTGTGCATATTAATTCAGGACAAGTGCTTTTTGTTATGTAAGATGGCACAATCAGAATGAAAACTTGAGAGGAAATGGCACTTTGCTTTACTAGAACTTAATCATGACAGTCATTAATATCAAATAACTAGTCTTCCTTAATCTATTTTCTAATTAAGAATTGATCTGATTCTTTTAGTTTGGTTTCTCAGCTGGGTAAGGCATTTGAAGAAATTCATGAGTCAAATGGATACAAATATTCCAGTCTATTTGGGAGTAAGATTTCCTTTAGTAAATTAATAAATTGGAGTTCTGGTTGATATAGTAATCTCTCATGCTGGGGTAGTGAGATTCACTTTCTCTGTGTCAGACTACTATTAGGCCAACAAAATGATGTTTCCCAAATGAAAAACTAAGAACCAGATTTTAGATGAACCAAAGATTCACCCAGCAAAGCTCTATCCTGAGTGGTTATTTGGCTGTCTAGATGCCATCTCTGTACATAACAAACTGAATAAAATTAAATTAATATTTACCTAAACACTGATGGAAAGGTGGAAGCAAACTTATTAATAAAAAATGTCATCAGTCTGACCATTCAACACATCTGATCAGTTTTACTTTAACTGTTTTCTACTTTTTTAACCTATGAAAGAACAATCCTTGAATGGCATTGTTTTACACCTATTAGCACTCTCAAAATACATTTTTATAAACTGTAGATTAATTTGCACACATTTTGCTGAAATAAAACAAAAGATACTGAGTTTTTAAAAAAATTACTATTTGGAATTCACAGAGAATTCCCACCAAGTTGGGAGTGAATACAAACACAGATGTGTACAATGACTCCTTAGACTTGCCTCCCTGTTCACAAAGAGAGATTACCTGGATTTCTGTCAAGCTGGGAAGCCAATCTGGTATTTGAATGATCCACTCGTTTTGTACTGAAGTGGGAGGGAAAAAAACATTTTAGTAACTTTCTTTACATTTAAAAAAATGTGTAATGACTTAGAGTGAAGTAGAAACCATAGGTTATAGGGGAAATAAATATTGCCACTTCATGAAAATATCTGAAGAAAGTCTATGATCAGCATAATGATAACAACTCAGTAGCACACCTTTTAGGAGGAAGGTTTTTCTACTTTCCCACCTTACCCACATATAAGCACAGCAGGTTTTCAGGGCATAGACTGTAGAAAGAGACCTATGAGAGTACTGTGAAAAAAGACTGGCCAGGATGTAAAAATACATACTGTGTATAATTCTTAAAAATTCACAGTGCATGAAACACCCTTTACAAGGGAAGGTACATCTACTAATGCCCAGTGGTACGGTGTTCTTTAGAACAGTGGTTCTCAAAATGTGATCCATAAAATCCAAGACTCTTTCGGGAAGTTTTCTGACTGATACTATTTTCATAATGATACTAAGCTGCCGTCTGCTATTTTTCACCGTGCTGCCAACCGCACTGATGGTATAAAAGCAATGGTGGTTTAAGGCTGCAGGTGCCTGCGTGTGAATCAAGGGCATGGCACCAAATCACAGTCCTCTTCGCTACCACACGCGCACAAAGAAGTCAACAAAACAAAACACTCGAGTTTCATTTGAAAACATCCCTAACGAAGCAGGAAACATTATTAATTTTATTAAAACTCAACTCCTTAGTACAGGCCTTTTAATAAAAAGTCTGTATGGCAAAAGGAGAAAATACACACAAAGCATTTCTACTCTGAAGCACAATGCTGATCATGCAGGAAAACACTGATGCAATGGTTTGAATCGTAAGCTGAGCCAGCTCCTTTTGGTTCTTGGACCACCATTCTTGAATGACTGATGGAAAAATTAGGAGCTCATTCAGATGTAGGTATTTAAAAGATACACACAAAAAAGAAAGTGAGTCTGTCATCTCAAGAAAAAAACTGACAGTATCTGTTGACAAGAATAAAATTCCAGATTTTGAGGAAAACTGAGAATTTTAGAAAACTTGTACCCATGAGCTTGATAGATTCCTAATACTTGAATTGTTTTTTTTAATTGCTGATATAGTGATCTAGTGAACATATTTTTTAAAATACTGCATAATAAAATGTGTCCAATTTGGAAGATCTACATTACTCAGTGAACCAATATTTTCCAAATGATCAATAAATAATGTTACAAAATCATGCATTAGTGAATTTTTATGTAACCTAGTTCCAAAAGTTCACAGATATGGTTTAGATTTCCCATTGTAACTAGAGTTAAGAAACTAGCATTTTTTGAAATGCTAGTTTTTGAAACTAGCATTTTTTTAGTGAAGGAGCAAAGAAAAATATCCGTAATTATTTTAAAAGGCTGTTAAAATACTTTTCCAACTATGTATCTGTGTGAGGCCAGACTTCCTTCATACACCTGAACCCAAACAACACATCAGAACAAATCAAATGCAGAAACAGATATGACAGTGCTCTGTCTTTTAAACAGTCAGACTGGAAACGATTTACAAAACTATAAAATAATGCCACTCTTCTGATTTTTTAGTGGGGGGTGGGGGAAATATACTTATCTCAATTTTAAAATGTTTCATGCTAACATGCAATGAATAGATAATAGAATGTAAGTTGACCACCCAAGGGAATGTAACAATCTGGTCAACATATGCAAGTGGTCAACATAAGGAACTAGGCCTGCTATACTGATATGTACATGTGATGCATGTCTGGTCTATGAAAATTAGCTGAACTTAAGGAGGTGGTCAAGGTAGGGAGGTGGCCAACTTAGGGAGGTTCTACTTTGTTATTGTTCTTTTTAAATTAATTAATAAAAAAGGGAGCTCCAGCATCAAACAGCCTTGGATTGTGGATTCTTAGGCAAACTTTAGAGATATTCTATGAAAACATAAGCAGATCCATTTTCATTTTTTAAGAAACTAGGTCTCAATGAAAGCAGAACAAATAAAAGAAAACAAAGAGACTGGGTCTCATTATGCTGCCCAGGGTGGACAGCAGTGGCTGTTCATAGCATGCACAGGTGTGATCACAGCACATTATAGCCTTGAGCTCTTGGTAAACATTTAAAATGATCTTAGTTTTTCTTTCTGCTACAGTAAATATTGATAGAAAAAAAAAAACCATATATATAAAAAAAAAAAACTCTTTGGCACTTCTAAAAATTTTTACGAGTGTAAAGTGGTTCTGAAACCAAAAGGTTCAAGTACTGTTGTCAAAGAACTTTATTCAGGACTTAAAGTTTTCCCAGAAGTATAAGACACAAATAACACTGAATTTGCCAAAATGAGAAATAATAGATGTGGTTTTAGATAAAGGACCAAAGTAAATATTTCAAATCCACAAAGTCTTCCTTGTTTAAAAGATGAGATTATAATTTTCACCTGTTAAATATGCTAATATGTGAACGTGTAGGGAGAAAGGCAGTCATGGAGACGGCCAATGGAAGTATAAATGAGTATAAGCTCTTTCTAAACCAATGTGATAATACATATTAAAAACCCTGAAAATGTTTTAGTTGCACAACTCAGTAATTACCCTTTTAGGAATCCTTCCTTAAATTAAATACAATTTGGAGAGATGACGTACAAACATGGTTACTAACCATTAAACAGGCAGCCTAAGGAACTAAGCCTAAATGCAGAAAACACTTCATGTCCAAAGGCAGTCATTAAAAACTTTCTTCACAAAAAAGCAGAAATAACCTATAAAAAGTTTAGCTCTAGAAATAAAGTATGACTATTATAGTAATACAAAGCCTGACAATTAAGTTCGTGGACTGGCCACAGCATGAGCTTCCCCTGGCAGCACCACTCAGTCAAGTTTCAGGTTTCATAACCTTGGTTTCTCAGTGTCTCTGCTGTGTTCAAGTCAAGGTTGGCAGTGTCTGCCTGAGTGGTATACATCATTATTATTGTTGCAGGCTTTTCTCTGCTGTCTTGAGAATGCTGGTGCTTGAATTAGAGCAGTGAATAAATGCTTATAAATTTCTTGTTAAATCTGGCAAGAGTGGCAGTGAAATCAGAAACATGTTAGTTCAAGTTTATGAGGATAATGGAAGTGAACAAATGGATTAAACATCTTTCCAAGGGGAGAGAAAGCACCACTGATGGAGAGAGGTGAGGGTGGCCAGTAACAAGCAGAACTGACAAAAACGCTGCAAAAATTCATCAAGTTGTGCATCAAAATTGTTGGCTGATTATAAGAAGTGTAGAAGACCAAGTAAACATCAGAGAAACAGGAAAATCTTGACCGACAACTCATGGCTCTTGTATCATGGCAATGAACCACTCACATGGCAGTCTGTGAAGGACTTTTTAGTCAGTAAACAAAGCTGTATTGGACCATCCTCCTAACTCACCTGATCTGGCCCCCCGATGACTTTTTTCTTTACCTGATTATAAAGAAAATACTGAAAGAAGATATTTTGATGACATTCAGGGCATCGAGGGTAATGCAACAATAGCTTTGATGGCCATTCCAGAAAAATGGATTCCAAAATTGCTTTGAAAGGTGGACTAGGTGCTGGCATCAGCACACAGTTCCCCAAGGGGAGTGCTCTGAAGATGACTACAGTGAGACACAGCCATGAGGTGTGTAGCACTTTTTCTAGGATGAGTTCATGAACATAATTGTCACGGCTCATATAACATTGCATAGTATAAAGTTGTAGAGTACTACTAATGTGAAATAATTCTAAGAAATATGACTTGTAAGACAAAAAAAGAGAGTATTTTCAATCAAAATAGTTTTAAAATATCTTGTAAGTAGGAAAAAAATAATTTTCTCCCAACGCTTCTTTTAAAGTAGACAAACTTTTAGCAAAAATATTTCAACACAATCGTGATTGTGAACATAATTAATCAATTTCAACACAATTCTATAAATACCTGAAAAGTTATGCTACCAATATCCTTTCCTAGTAAAAAAGATAAAAAATGTCTTTCAAGTGTTCAATTTACTCACTTATAGTCTCTCTCCCAGAATTTCACAGGTCGAACATATGAAGTGATGAATATTGCACTTCCCAGAAAGGGGTTCAGTGGAGTGGAGAAGAAGGCTGACACCACAGCCTGAATAAACAACATGGCTGAATCTACGGGAAAACTGGTTAAGGAAATTAACATTCATCTAAGCATACACCCCCCCGACGCCAAGACAAAACGAAAAATAAAACTCACAAATACATTTAGATTACACTAAATAGAGAAACGAGGTTCACCAGGAGACTACAAAGAGGGTGTCACTGTCAGCATAAGGGGCTACCAATGAAAGACACAACAAGGAAAGTCAACGTGGTCTGATACTTTGAAAGCAGCCAACTAAATATTTGCTAATATATTTGGTAAAAGTCCATATATCAATTTTGGGCA